AAATTACATAGTATGGCTTTTCTAGGCATCATCTTTGTAAAATCCTTGGTGGAATTTGCTCTGAGCAACTGAGTAGCTCCTGATTGTTAAAGTTATTCACCTGGTGTATTTCTGTTGGAGCAGCACAAAGCAATCTTCTGGGAAGTTCATTCTCTCCGATGTATAGAATTCTGATGTTGGGATTGGTTAGTTTTTCTACTCTGCCAGACTTAAAATGAGCCCTCCTAGAGGCAGAAGGAATATCTATGACTGCTGGCTGAGAAAGATGCACTGCTGAGAGAAACGTGCTGCTGAGATAGAGACCTGAGAAAGATGCACTGCTGAGAGAGAGAGATGTGCTACTGAGAGAGACTTCTGGCTGAGGGACAGCCAGCTGAGAGAGACTGAGTGCATTCCTGAACTTGAATTGTAGCCTGTTGCTTCCCTAATGAACCTCATAATCTGTGAGTTCTCGTTGGCCACTGCAGTGAATTATCAAACACAGCAGAGAGGTGGTGGTTGCCACAGGGGGAATGGGTGGTGGCAAGGCTAGTGGGTGGTAACATGTCTGGCCTCATAGTAACAGGCATTGGGCTGCTCATGGTGATTCTGTCCTCCTTTTATGTAGTTAGAGAAGGTCATAAGATGCCATCTCCTTGTCCCTTTAGTAGCTCCGGTAAAAGTTACAGCCTAGAAAATGCTGTAGGGTAGTTCTACTCCATCACATAAGGTTGATATGAGTCAAAATCCATTGACAGCACCTAAAAACAGCATAGACATAGGTATATACTATCATTTAGCAGTGATGTGAGGAGTCACTTCTGCTTTCTATCGTAATAAGAAGTGAATGGAACAGTGATATGTGGCCACATAAATCCTGCAGTAAAAAATCAGAGACTCTATTTCAGTTCATCTAATACAGCAATCAAGCTCTGCTTCTTTAAGCAATTCACTTAATTATTTAGGTCTTAGTTTGGAGGTTATTCATTATATATTCCTTCAATCACATGAAATATATCTTTCAGAAGAAAATCAGTAAACCTGTGACAGACTAATAAAAATACAGATCGATTAGTCTTTAGGGTATTAATATTTTCTATTTATGTGTTCATTCAACAAATATTTATTGAGCATTGTGCACTAATGACTAAAGTATGAAGATCATGAAGTCCCAGGAGCTCAATCTAATAAGCAATAATAATCATAAAACAGATTATTAAAGCACAATGGAGAGAAAAATAGTAACAGATATATGTGCAGAACGTTACAGAGGCTCAGAGAAAGGACACCTGTGACACAGTTCCAGGTTATCAGAGGAAATACCACCTGAATTGTATTTTAAAGTATGCAGGAACTAGAAGAAGGATGAGAATATAAATAATTGGTGAGTTAGAGTGTTCCAGGTAGAAGGTAGACAAGAGCAATGCCTCAGATGAGGAAAAATAGCCTGGTATGTGCCAGGAGCTAACAAGTTCAGTACTAGAACAGAGATCCCAAAGCAAGGTGGTGAAAGATAAAATCAGAGAGAAGGGCAAGGCAGGAACTAAGGAACCCTAACTACTAAGGAATTTTGTGGCTTCTGGGAGCCTCCACTGTTTTTTAATCAAGGGAATAACATGACCATATATGCTTTTAGAAGGATTACTTTGGTGACCATGGAGGATATACTTTACAGGTACAAGATTGGAGACAGAGAAACCAATTATGGGGGCCTTGGCTAGGGATCCTTGGGTGGTCAAATTGTTTAATAAATTTTGGCTGCTAATTGAAAGGTTGGAGGCTTGAGTCCACTCAGAGGCACCTTGGGAAAAAGGCCTGGTGATTTACTCCTGAAAAATCACCATTGAAAACTCTGTGGAGTGCAGTTCTACTCTGACATGCATGAAATCACTATGAGTCAGAGCTGACTCCATGACAACTGGTGGGTTGGTAGGCTGGTAGGTAGGGTAATACTAGGAAGGATAGAATAAAGGGAGCATATTCCAGGAATATTGCTGAGGAGCATGGTGATTGGTAAAAAGGAAAGGAGATTCAAGAATGAGTCTCAGGTTTTTACTTTCGATGATTAGATGATGATGAAGGCTATCCAAAGTACTGAAGGCTACAGAGACTATAGGGATTTATGGATTTATGGATTTGAAGTTCTTGTGATGATCTGGGGAATATACCCAAAATGAAGTCCTGAGGAGGTTAGCTAGATTATGTGAATTTGGAGGACTTAAGAATATAGATGATGGTTGAAACCAAGCGAATAGATGCAGCTGCCCATGGAGATGGCATGTATAGTGAAAGGAACATAAGTATGATGATAAATTCTTAAGGGAGCATTCGTATTTAGGGAAGAGACCCTACAACAGACAACAGATAATGAAGCAATCCATTAGATCAGGGGCATACCAGGGAACTATGGAGTAATAGAAGCCAATGGAATTGATTTTTAAGAAAAAGAAAAAAACTAAAATCAAGAATACCAATGTCACTGAACTGTAGATATGGAAATTGTTGAATTGGTATATGTTCTCCTATGTATATTCTCAATAACAGCAACAAGAATAAAATAAAATAAATTATTTAAAAAAAGAGAGAGAAAGAAAAGAACCATCAACACCAATCATATAAGATCAAAAGGCAGCATTTGCTCAAGGATAAAACTCAGAAGGCAGGAAGGGATTGGAAAGAAGGACACACAGAAACAATAAACAGGAATGAAGTAGGAAGAGTGCTGTTACATTGTAGGGATTACAATCAATGTCATGAATCAAATTGTGTCTGAATTGTTGAATGAAAAACCAATTTGCTTTGTAAACTTTCACCCAAATCACAGTAAAAAAGGTAAACAAATAAATAAAGATAAATGAAATAAAATAAGATCTATGAAAAGGGGTAAGCTGGTTAAAAAAAAAAAAGAAAAGATCCATCAATACAGTAGCCAAGTCTAACAATAAAATAAGAACTGAATGATGTCCACTAAATTTAGCAGTTGGGATATCACTGATGATTTTGACAAAGATTTGCAGCAGAACTGTGATCCAGAGGCTTGGGACTGTGGGCTAGAACTAATTAAAACACAAAGAGATTGTTGGTGGGGTTCAGGGCTCAGCATCCATTTGTAGTTGCTTAAGTCTGCACAAGGAGCACTGGAGCGCAGTCGTTAAATGCTCAGCTGCTGAACAGAATGTCAGTGGTTCAACCCCATTAACTATGCCTCAGGAGAAAGATGAAGCAGACTCCTTCTGTAAAGATCCCTGTGGGGCAATTCTACTCTGTCCTATAGGGTTCTTATGAGTCAGAATCAACTCAATGGCAATGGGTTTTGTCAGTGGTTTAAGTCTGCACAATGCTGAGATTATTCTTTCCCATAGTCCTCAGCCTTCTGGGTATAGAAATCAGGCAATTATAGCACTGATCAGGATTTAGATTTGCCAAGAGCTAGAGGAAGGTAAAGGAGTTCTGATGGCACTGTGATTAAAGCATTCGGCTGCTAACCTTTAAAAGGACGGTGGTGAGAAAGATGAGGCAATCTGCTTCCATAAAGATTTATAGCCTTGGAAGCCCTATGAAGCAGTCACTATGAGTCAGAATTGACTTGATGCCAGTTGGTTTTAGAGGAAGGTGGAGATAGAACCATCCTTCAAGGGATAGAACTGGGATTGTGCCAGGCAAAAAAGGAGATGATGGACCAGGCAAAATTGGAGGGATTGGGGATCTAGGCCCTTCAGAGGTCAAAGAATAAGAGAGTCTAGTTTGAGCAAAAGAGTAGGAGACCATAAAGGAAGGAGGCTGTGCTCAGATAGAAAAAGGAAATCTTTGGCGGTGTGATGATTATGCCACTGATTATGTAATGATTAGGCCAAGGTTATTAATAATATACCATTAGTTGAAGTAGTAATTTTCCCAAAAATTAGGGTTAGATTTGTGTAGAAAGAAATGCTGTCCAAAATATTCCAGAAATGTGCAAGAGTAAAGAGTAGTTATACAAATGACAGTGTTGAAGAGAGCTAGAGAGAAGGATTTTAAGGTTTAGGCGTAAGATAAAAAAAAAGCTTTTATTTTTTTTGAGTTTATTTTTTTTTTATTTTTTTTATTGTGGTAAATATATATACACACACCACAAAAAATAAATCTGATATATATATATATATATGTTTAATATTTTGAAATATAT